AACGTTGAAAATATACCTCTTCTTATGTCACAGGCAAATTTTGTCTTCTGAGCACAAACACAACTTACTGCTTGTTTTGTTTTTGCAAGCCTAAAAATCTATACTACACAAAATTAATTTTAATATCACATCAAAGTGGATGCACTTCAATCGTGAAAAAACAATGGTGTAATATTACTTTACTTACTATTACTAATTATTAAACTAAAACTATTACTAATATTACTTGCCAAAAAGGACAAAATTATCATGAATACAGTGCATGAACTGACATTACGTTGCTTTTACTGCTTTTGTTTATTTGTGTGGCCATAAAAATTACGTGAGATTTTCGACATGATTGAAGTAATACTTGGGTAATACTTAGACATAATTATAAGTCTGCAACTGCTTCCTGTGCGTAGCTTTAAATGCGTAGAAGAAATGAACATGACAGTCACGTTCATGAATGGAAAGTGTGTTTTCGAAAAAAAAATGAAAAATGAAGGTTCAACATTTATTTTTCTTTATAACTATACTTAAAAAAGCATTCTTGCTCGTCAGATTAATTACTCATATAAGGGTATTATTCAAGTAGCAGCTTTCATCCACAACTGAAATTTTATATATCTGATTTCATCTTACTTCACGTTTTGGCTGTATCCCATAGAAGTGTATTTTTCACTTTTAGGACCACAATTAAATTATGGACAGAAGTAAATAGGCAGTTATGATTTCATATATTGAGAATCCTGGCCAGAACATGTTAAAAATAACATAAAAATATGATTGTGCCATCGGCGTGAAGGAATTCAAGAAAAAAAAATATGGTATTGATTTTTCACCAAAAAAGCTCAAAACTACCACTCACTCATCTGGTCATATCTCAAAAACTATTTGTCCAAATCATTTATCCTTGAAAACACAAGAGTACAAGAGTTTTCCAAGGTGTGGTGAAAATTTGAGCCCACAATATTAAGAAATAAAAAATCCCGCCCATGGTGAAAATAGGCCATTTTTTGTAAATTTTGGATACCTGCCGGTAATCAGTCTGTTTACTGTAGTTTCTATAACAAAAACAAAATGTTTGTTCATTTATAATAATTTACATTACAAAACCTTCAAATTGACGTTCTAAGATCACGAATAGCTTATTTGGTTGTGGAGTAAGCTCTTCGGAAATTTTTTTTTCAAATCTCGAAAATACAGGGTTGTAGCCCAGAAGGATCTAGGCACTTTAGAGCAAAATCCAAAAAGTTATTTGTTCAGAATGCCAAAATAAGCGTTTTGGCCAAGTTTGGCTTAAATCGGTGACATCGACCACAACTTCTTAAAATTCTGTACCCACTTGAGCTGGAATGACCCATATGTAGTTGGTAGCTTTTCCAATATGTGAAGAGAATTGCAGGTTGAAATTCGGTATTAAAATGAGCCCTCCAATCCCTCCAATAATCTGCTTCTATATCAGTACTACAAATCAAATGATGATCAGTCTGTCAAATTCGACATTGAAATCCTTTCAACACCTTGGGGCATGAAAACATCTTATTTGGATAAAGTGTAATAGTGTAATAAAGTGTAGTGATTTTCCGACTGAAAACCTTAAAATTTCCTGTACGTACACATCTGGTCGTATCTTGTGAACCATATTTTGAAATAATTTTCGTTTCGGAACACATCTAGTAACTTTTCCAATGTGTGGAGGGAATTTCAGGACAAAATTATGAAAAACAGCAAAACCCACGCAGTATGAAAAGGACCCCTAGTTTACCTTCCAATAATCTGTATCTAAACAGTATTTTTATTGACACAAACCATATATTGATAAATTTATCACATATTGCAAGGGCTTTTACTTCAAATGGTGGGTCAAGAACACAAACAACTTGTTTGGTTGCGAAGTAATCTCGATTCAAAGATATGATTTATAAAAATCTAAAAAATCCAGGGCTGTAGTCCAGAGGGAACCAAGAAAAATTATAAAAGGCGTTTTCTTAGAATATCAAAGTATGCATTTTCGCAAATTTTGGTTGAAATCGATGACAATGATCACAACTTTGCAGACAGATTCGTTAACTTCAGAGTAGATGCAAGAACTTTCAAGAAGTTCTGAGAACTTCAAATATATCTAGAGAATGTAAAGGAAGTTCTGACAACTTCACAGAAATCTAGATAAGTTGAGGAAAATTTTGAAAACATTAAAAATAAGTTCCAAGAGCTTCAGAAAGCTTACAGATCTATACAGTAGCTCCAATATAGGAAAGTTTCGAGAACGTAAGGAAAGTCTCAACTTTTGGGGTGGTCTTTAAAATATGGATGAGTTAAGAATTTCAGAAAACTTCAGAAATATATCAGGAATTTAACAGAAGACCTGGGAATTAAAAAAAAAGTGAATACCTGAGCAGGAGAATTGTGAGAACTTCAGGAAAGAAGTTTCATTAATTTCAAGTGAATAGCAGGAACTTTATATAACCTCAACACTCTGGATGAAACGTCCCGCAAGAAGTTCTTGAAAAACTGGTTCCATTATTTCCGCATGGTCACCTGCTTTGATTCGTCTTTTAACGTCCCACGCAACACGAAGGCTAGGTTCATGACTCATTCTGTCGGATTGACGTACGGTCAAAGAGCGGCTTATCAATTATTTTTTCAGATACTCGGATGCTCGGGTGGGTCAACGTTTCCCCGGTTCCTTTCCATGATGCAAATGGCCACTCGCATTAAGGCCTGGAAAACGACGAGATCGAAAGTTTGCTTTAGCCTAAATTGCTAAAATCGGGCTGGTGACAATATCATCTGGTTGTAGGCGGGTGCAAGTATGTGTACTACCGCATCACCTCCTCTGCAGGTAAGCACAATCTCATACAGAAGTCAGGAAGTTACGATTGCCAATCAGTGAAACACGTTGCCTGCGGGGAAGCCTGGCTCCAATCATTTTCAGAATTCGTAGTCTTTTGCTTGCAGCAATGCTTGAAGTTAAGTGTCTGGTAAAAAGTAGCACCGATGATCTTAAACCGGGGTATCTTCAGTATAGCTGACATACATGATCGACTTAAATGTCTCTTTTCGGCTTTCGGCGGACGTTGGGACTACCATAGAAGGTGCTGGAATTAACCAAAAATTTAACGACGCTAACTGTTAATAAGCATGTCAAATAATTTGACATGTTAAAACTTTGAAGCTAAAAATGAAATCAACGGAGTTAACGTTAACCGTTAAAGTTAATATCACAAAAAAAAACTCCGTTTTGGTATTTAAATATTCCTATTCAAGAATTTTTAACGATCACACACTGTAAACATGTAACTGTGCACTAGCTTTATTATTGGATCGGCAACGATTGAATTATTTCCAGTACAATTTAAAAACTTAGTCAATGCCAAATGTATGAACACAGCAAAAAAATAATTTTGATATCACGTCAAAGTGGATGCACTACAATCATGTCGAAAATATGGTGCAATATTACTTGCTAAAAAGAACAAAATTATCATTAATACAATGCATGAACTGACATTACGCTGCTTTTACTGCATTTGTTTATTTATGTGGTCATAAAAATTACATGAAATTTTCGACATGATTGTAGTGCATCCACTTTGATGTGATATCAAAATTATTTTTTTGCTGTGAATCTTTCGTTCAAGTGTTTCAAAGAAGGTTAGCTCTTACATCTCTGACTAGAGTGTCTATAAGTAGAGTGAAAACATGTCAAAATTGGAACATCTATCAACGGCTTGGAAAACGTCATTCCAATCGAGCAGATGGCTGACATGACGTCACTTTTCTTAGGCACTCTAGCTCTGACTATGTCGATCAAAAGCAGCACATAACGGGATTGAAGTGTTGATGTTTATAAAGACATCAATGAAAACTTTTACACCCTTAAAGTCTGCATCATTCAATTGCTTAGTCGTAATTGTTCGTTAGTCTAGTCATAAAATCAACGCCGTTGATTGACGGTTAACGATTTAACGAAAATACTCGCCCTTCACTGCGGATTTCACTGCAGATATCTGAAAAACAGTTCCATTCACTAAAGGCATGATGTCATTCGCATACACGATAACAATTAACGGTATCAGGAACCACTCCAAAACCCAAATGGTTGGCTACAAACTCAATTCAATAAAAATAAAAACATCATCGATTAACAGCAGTTTCTCCAATTTCGAACAAAAACGTGTCGATGGCTACCATCAATTAAATTATGTTCATTAAAACTTGCGTTCCAATAAACACCTTTCAGCGCAACTACCCATAGACAACAGCAAACTAATTACACCCGCTAAGCAATGGTAAACAAAGCGCTCGATTGCCACTATCCTTGGGCAGGTGTTCGCTTCCAGTAGACAGAGTACCAGCAGTAATCCCCGAAAGCAATCATGCGATCTAAATTGAGGCCATTATTTTTTCACCAATTTAACACTCAGATTCATGTAGCAAACTGTGTACGGAACAGGTAGTTCTGGAAAAGGGTGGGGAAATTGGGCGGAGGAAGCATTCCTTTGTCAGCATCGGAATCCGAGCAGTGGACTTTTACGACGTTCGTGTTCGTGGATGGGGGTGGTGGGGGGGGGGGGGACAACAACAGTTAAGGCACACTCTGTAACATCAGTTGGATTCGCACATTGTTGTCGGTTCACTGATATTTATTGCTTCACTACCACACTGGCACAGGGTGGCATAGAGGGTTGGGGGATGGGGAAGGATGGGGGTGCGAATGTTATTCCGTCAGGTGCTATTCCCGATGTATGTTTGCACGTTCATCAATTTTGACTTCGGTAGGACTACATACGCGAATGCCAACACTCGATGTGTGTGATGGTAGCAAACGGCACAGTTGTGTGGTGAAATGCAGCACGTGGTTACGTAATATGCAGCTCCAAAATGGGTTTTTCGGTTAATTTCGGATGGTAAACGTTTTGTTGTCCCTAGCTTTCTTCCGGGAGGGGCTAAGATGGTTAAATGAAGGAATGGAAAAAAAAAATAGGAAAACGGATGATTGCGAGAGTACTCACCTTCAGTTGATCCGCCGTTTGTGCCGATAGTAACTCCCTGCACATAGACTGGTTACCAGCCTCGACAGCAAGCAGGAGCGGTATTTTGCCTTTCTGTAAAAAATTATTCCTTACTATATCTGTCCATGATGCTTTCTGCCTTTTCTGCCTTTTTCGTTTATTCAAAGCGACAAAATTGGTGGCGAGCTTGTGAACTTCGATCCGGTTACTAGGAAAGCTCACGGTCCCACCGCGCCGCGACGGAAACGGACTTTTGCCAACCGTAGGACTCTGTTTACTAGCACCGACACCTCCACCGCCAGGTTTCACCGAACTATTCTTGCGGTCCATACTGTTCTTCCGCAGACCAGCGGGCTCATTTACCTCCAAAGTTTGCACTGTAAGGGAATTCACATCCAGCGTCGGCGTCTTGGAACTTGACTCTGAGATGGATCCCTCCGGGGAATCCCCTCCCATTGAGGCGGCCGCATTGGCGAACGCACTTGCTTTGGCCGGATTAAATCTCGCATATTTTGATTGTACATTCTGGAAACGCCTCACGGGGTTAGACATGGTCCGATCGTACCAACTGTCATATTGAAACTACTGATGCGCGCAATTTTGCTTCGCTTCATTTCAACAAAAAAAAAATGTACCCCGATTCCGATGGTTATTATTATACATAATGATAGCGCAACTAGCGGAGCCCTCGGAGAGGATCTCGCCCCACGGGGAAGGACGACTAGGTGCACTGGGCGGCGGCGGAGCTAAACTATAACAACGCAAAGCGAATTCAAATCACATCGGAGCTTCCCAACCAAACAAACAGGTTCCAACGGAGTCCTTCCAGTCTAGTGCCACCACTACCACAGATCACGCTGCGGTGCACGGGGCAAAGTCACGGACGGTGATGAAAGGTGAGGATTTTTTGTCGTTGTTGTTGGAGGGACAACCGCGACACCACACCAACGAAGCGTACGAAAAATTCCAAATTTACGAAAAACGGATATTCATATCATCGCTAGGATCCCGCAGCCAGCCGGAGTCCACCCACACTGCCACGCTGAGCTGTGGCTTGCTTATGGAAGATTGCAATAAAATTGTGAGCTGAACATAGACGTGCAGAAAATGCCTATCCAGCCAGCCACAATACACTTGCGAAATCAGAACGATTCTCCGACTGTGTATTGGAAAGCGATGGTAAGCTGGCAAAAGCAACAATCGCAGAAACAACAATGACAACAACGAATGGAAGCTCAAAGCTTCAATGGTTTTCTGCCCAACCCCGCTCTCGCCCTACGGATTTCCTCACCCGGCTGCATCATTTGCGATAAACGGCTAAAGGCGGTGACACGATGCAAAGATTTACCAGCAATAATAAATTCGAGCACGTGCTCCGATTTTGAATAATTTCAGAATCAAATATGTAAATTTCAATAGGCTTATGTGTTGATCGCAATGATTGTACTCCAAACAAGAAATTTCAAGTCGCAGTCGGTTTAATAGTAAAAAATAGGTGAAGCCGAGGACAACATAGAGCCGCTCCACGCCAAATGACGAATCGATCAGACTCAACCTTCTCCGATTTGCATGAAACTTTGCATGAAACTTTGCATTTCATTTTAAACTCTTTATTTCATCCAAATTCAAAATAAATTACATTTCATTTCAGCCTAGGTGCTCCAGCTACAACAGTAGATTGCCAGCCTTAATTGTTATGATTTATCTAATTGTGTTAATATTGCTCCTGCCTTGAAAATTCAGCATTTTAAACAGGTTTTTAAAACCTGTATGTCAGCATAACAATGTACATCTTAAAACTTAAAACTTAAACTTAATCTTATCTAAGCATAAAGGAATTAATCATTGTTTTATTGGACATTTGTTCTACCTTCCTTGATTTGTTTTCCGTGCTGAGCACCAATGCTACCGACGCCAGAGAGGCAGCTCCCACACTTGGACCCTACCTATCGATCCATCAATTCATGATCCGGGGACCAACGGCTTTACTTCCCTTCCGAAGGAAGGCGTTATCAGAGATGTTATGCCTCAGAACATCCCGGCGGCGCCGACTGAGATTGAACCCAGGCCTGTTGGAGTGAGAACTACACCACCGGCGCCGTTGACATTTGTTCTAAAGTCTCAACATTCGAACTTCTATGTACCTCAGTAGTACTGTACCAGGGAGGCAACTTCAAAATCATCTTCAGAACTTTGTTCTGAATCCTTTGAAGTGCTTTTTTCCTGGTAGTGCAACAACTAGACCATATTGGCACAGCGTAAAGCATGGCCGGTCTAAAAACTTGTTGAAATATTAGAAGTTTATTCTTCAGGCAAAGTTTCGATTTCCTGTTTATTGAATGCCCTCAATGTGATCTTTAAAAGGTAATGTTTGATCTAGTACTAATGCAAGATATTTCACTTGGTTTGACCAGGAAATTGGAACTTCATTCAAAGTGACTATGTGACTACTTAGTTTCAAAAAAGAAGCTCTTGGCTTATGTGAAAATATTATAAGTTGAGTTTTGGAAGTGTTGGGATAAATCTTCCATTTTTATAGATAAGAAGAGAAAATATCTAAAGTTTTCTGTAGTCTGCTACAAATAACACGAAGACTTCTGTGTCATCAGCGAACAAAGATTTGTGGCAACCCTGAGGCAAATCAGGGAGGTCCAAAGTGAACATGTTATTCAATATGTGCTACCCCGAGGAACTCCTGCTCTAACAGTTATTCGTTCCGATTTGGAATTTTGACAATTTACCTGCAGAGTTCAGCTGGATTTTTGTCCGGTTTCAAAATTTGAACAACTTTGGCATGTTTCCAAAGTATGCCAAATGGAAACATCTGTAAAATAATTTTACCAAAGAAGACAAGGTACTCTCTGGGAGTCATTTGATGTGGATTTAAAAAATTCCATCATCAACATTCATATTTTGAAACTTTTTAGTTATAGATCTTACTTCGCTTAAATCATTCCCCCAGGAAAAATATTTTTCCGAAAGAAAATATTCAGATATTCCCGAGCAACCTGATTCTCAATATTATTAGTTAGACCCACACTGAAATTATGGGAACTCTCGAATTGCTTATCAAGGCTCTGAGCATTTCTCGAATTTTTGATCAAAATTTGACCACCTTTCTAAAGCGCTGGAATAGGCTTTTGAGGTTTTTTTCAATTTTTTTTTTGTGAGGTTCCCAAAGGAGTTTGTAGTTCGGGTCTAATTTCGAATCATTTCTCTATTTTTTTTATCATAGTTTTTCCTCAGGGCAGAGAATTGCTTTTTAATTTGTTTTTTGCAAATCCAGCTAGATAACTTTCATGGCAGGATCGCGTGTTCTTTGATATTGCCTCCTACGGACATTTTTCAGACGGATCAATAGCTGAAGATCGTCGTCTATTATAATTGAATCGAATTTAACCTCGAATTTTGGTACTGAGGCAGCTCTTGCTTCAACTATAGAAGTAGTCAGAGATTCAAGAACATATTAAGCATTATCTTTGGTTTGCAAAGGAATATTTGGATCGAAGCTATACTCCATAAATGTTCGATATTGCTCCCAATCAGCTCTAAGGAAATTGAAAGTAGAACTGTTGGGATTAGAAATTATTTCTTGGGATATTTCAAAAGTTACTGGAAGGTGATCAGAACCGAAGTCAGCATGGGTAACCAGTTGGTTACAAAGTTGACATGAATCAGTTAAGACCAAATCAATAGTGGAGGGATTTCTTGTAGAAGAAAAGCATGTTGGGCTGTTTGGATATTGAATAGTGTAATAACCTGCAGAACAATCATCAAACAGAATATTACCATTGGAATTGCTTTGAGCATTATTCCATGAGCGGTGTTTTGCATTAAAATCACCAATAATGAAGAATTTAGACCCATGACGGGTAAGTTCCTGAAGGTCGTAAGTTGTCCAAATTTTGTTCCAACAGAAACTCCCAAAGTTTCAAATGCAGAAAGAATTTTATGTTTGATTCGTCTATGAACAATGATGGCAATGCCACCACAGGGTCCATCAAGACGATCATTTCTATAAATGAAATAATTTGCGTCCCTTTTAAACTTATGGTCAAGTTTAAGGAACGTCATAACTGAAGGCAATATTTAATGATTTAAAATATATTACTGAGTTTCAAAGTCATTACGATATTGTTCGCAAATTTTACTCCCGTTTGAATAGCATCAAACATGGAGTTAGATTTAAGCCTATCAGTAATCATGTCAATTAATGATTTCTGTAAAAAATCCATTCAAGGAGCAGTTATGCATCCTAAGTCAAAATTTTCAAAATTTCCGTTAGAAATACGTTGGCTAATAATTTAATTATTACCCATTGAAATTGCAGCATAGGTAGCTCCATTTACTCGCATGAACATTGTTAGCAGCAAGTGGAGTAGGTATAGATGAAGAATTTGAAGCAGAGGTGATATTTGCACCTACGGGCACGAATAAAGAATTTGTTCCTCACTGACCGTTGCTAACAGTAAAAGAATTTGTACCTGGTCGGTAAAGTGGAGCTTTTCCTACCTGCCGGTTAGTACGAGATTGTAGGATCGCTTTGCGAGTCTTACATTCACAAAAATTGGATTTGTGGTTTTCATGCATTTAGCTGGCTTGAACAATTTTTTAGATCCGTTACCCCATCCCTGGCACTTACGGCACTGGATGAGGTTTTGCAAATTTCCTCCAGTCTTCCTGAAGTGTCCACTTCACTCGGACATGGAGCATAAGGCTAGCTTTTTCTACGGCCTTAAGGTTGTTTAGTTCACTAAACTTGAAGTGAACTAAATAACAATCATTAGAAATCCCGTTGCGTGAATCGCCAGGACGGGATTTCATTTTCATTTTGATTACTTGGAGTGGCATAACTCCAAGTAATTTTGCCAGTTCATCTTTGATCTGATCCAGGGATTCACCACTGGGCAGTCCTTTCATGACAACCTTGAACCAGACGTTCAGTTTTGGTGTCGTAAGTAAAGAATGTGCTGCTTATTCGTAAAATACTTGAAAAGACGTGTGAATCCATCCAAGGTTTCAGCCAATACATGGCATTCACCCGACGGCCGATTTGAAGTGAAAACCTGAATTTCACGAAGTTCAAAAGTTCC